GCGTCGAAGCCGAAAGTCTTCTCTCATTTCTCGCTTGGCGGGCTACTCGGCTGAGGATGGCAGGCGGCAATCACTGTCGGCGTGGATTTGCACTACTTTTTCCTTATCGGTCATATGTTGCCTTTTGGGTTGAAATTCTTGACTGCATGTTCTGTGTTGTTCTGCAGTTGTGTGGTCTTAAACATTGAAAATATGACTTGCCGTTAACCTTTCAACTCGAGGCTAATCCTTGAAACGAGTATTAAAGCTTCTCTTCAGAGTTGTTCAGGTTGCAAGCGCTGTTGGAAATATCGAGAAGCAACTGTTGGGATTGTCTCATTTGGCGGGTTAAGTCAAGTGAGAAAATCAGAGTAAATCTAGTCAGTGTCCTTTCTGTGTATTTATATGAAGAAACATTTCTATTGCTTACACGCCATTAAACGATGATGATGGCTTGATAGCCTACGGCATACAAATCAAGGATTAAAGTTCAGTGTTGGCCCACTGAAGATTATTATTATTTTAATTTTTTTATGTTTGCAGTGTGAAGTACTGCACCCGAATTTGAATTACTTTCAATGTGGCAAGCTCATAGGTCGGACATTTTCAGAGGTGAAAAGCAGCACTCTGCTGCTATCATATCTCATGAATTATATGTTTTGTCTTTTTCTTTTCAGTAGTCATCAACTGTAGAATTGAAGCACTTCATCCAGGCTTACTGTCTGCGTCACATTTTATTGTTCCAAGTATGGACACTCAATTGAAATGTGAATCCAAAATTTAATAGTCAACTCGTTTAGTTTTGAAACTGACTGTTGAAAATTGCATTGAATCTCGTTTGCAGAAATAGTCATAAGCTATGAATTTAAACAGGGTACTTATGTGATATCGATATCGATTGCATTTCTAATTTATGGGAACTGAAACGTGTGAGTCATATTTTTTTTTTTAATACGTCTATAAACTTTTCCCTCTGCGATTCATGTAACCCTCCCACAAACTGCATTACGTTGGATGTACAGGGTGTTAAGGGGGACGGCTATCTGACTGTGAACGTTTGTGTAGCATTTTAAAATATAAATGAAGTTATGTATATTTATTAATTTAAAACCATGTCATGATTTTGACGAAGTTGGAAGATGTTTAATTTGCACACACCCCCGTGTCCCCCCCCCCCCCCAGCGTGTGGTCAAAATAAATGCAGAATGTCGGTGTCAAATCTGTGTGTGGAGATTTGTTTGCAACCAGATGCGAAATGCGAAATGCCAGATGCCATTGAACAAGTCATTCGAGGAATCAACAACAATGTCCAGAAGGTGGTGCACTTCACTCACTCCAACCAAAGACTGCAAGACTACAAAGACACACCAGTGTGTGCGTGTGTGAATGTGTGTGTGTGTGTGTGTGTGTGTGTGTATGATCTCGTTTTTGCTACCACATGGGGACTTGAACTTGCCTACACACGGACTGGTGGGGACTCATTGCAACGTGGGGAACACCAAATTACTCTTAGAGGCTTCAAAACACGTGTGTGTGTGTGTGTGTGTGTGTGTGTGTGTGTGCTTTGAGTTTTGTTTGCTAATAATAATGTTTTTAAGATAAGAAAACCTTTATTTGTCTCAGATTGGAGAAATTCCCAATTTACAGCTGCAAAATTATGAAAGGGAGAAGTAGAAGAACAAAGAGTAAATAAATATAAATTATAAACTATGTAAGCATACTAAAAATGGGTGAGTCCAGGTTTTCAGGTCTGTCTATTCAATAGCCTGACAACGAGCGGCGGTACCTTTCCTCCCTGCAGCGTGGGTGTGTCAGTCTCTGGCTGAAGGAGCTGCCCAGTGCTGTCAGGGTGGCCAGGAGGGGGTGGGAGGGTCTGCCGTCATAGTTTTTAGCTTGGCTAGCATCCCTCTGTTGCCCACCTCCTCCAGAGTGTCCAGGGAGCAGCCCAGGACAGAGCTGGTCCTCCTGACCAGTCGGTCCAGATATCCAAAGTACGGATCACAGCAGACCCTGCTCCGATCCGCCTGTCGATCTCCCGCTCCCTCCTGTCTTCACTCGTGAACAAGATCCCAAGATACTTAAACTCCTCCGCTTGGGGTAAGATCTCCTCCCCACCCTTTTCCAACTGAGGACCATGGTCTCAGATTTAGATGTGCTGATTTTCATCCTGATCGCTTCACATTCGGCTGCGAACTGCTCCGGTGAGAGTTGGAGATCACGGCTTGAAGAAGCCATCGGTACCACGTCATCTGCAAAAAGCAGAGATGCAATACCGAGGCCACCAAAGCAGACTCCCTCACTGCCTTGGCTGCGCCTAGAAATTCTCTCCATAAATGTTGTGATAGAATCAGTCAGAGAAAGGGCAGCCTTGGCGGAGTCCAACCCTCACTGAATACAAATCCGACATACTGCCGGCAATGTGGTCCAAACGCTGACAACGGTGGAACACGAACCGAGCAGCCCGTATCAGGGCGCTCGGTATGCCATACTCCCCCCCCCCCCACCCCCCCGTCCTGAAATAATGATCATCTCGTCTCAGTTTCTTCGCAAATGTCCTTCCTTAAATCCAGGCCTGTTTGGTTGGACACAAGGCTGGTATACTTGCAGAAAGCATGATTTCGGTTGCGGGTGAGCTGAACCCTTTCGTTGACTGATCGCCAGCCAATCGCAAGCTAAATCTGTTCTATGAATGGCAAAATGTTGACACAGGTTCATGGTACCTTCTGTCATGTCGTGGAAGAGCATTTCATTGTTCTGCCCGTCACTATATGTCGCTGGCCTTCATTATTTGTGTCAATTACTTTTTGGGATCAAAAACTATAACATTGGATTGTTTCTTGCATCCTGCATGACTGCTCACAGAAGGGCGGTTGTGAATCACTGCCACCGGTGGAGCTTCTGAATATAATTAGTCAGGGATTTGAAATTGAGCAAACATCTGTCCAGTTGTCTGAACTGATTTTTTTTTTTTTTTTGGACACATGTCCGGCATTTAATCCACACCACGGAGTCACAGAAAGTACGAGCATCAGTTACATCTGACGTTAAAACCGGCAACGCAGTCATCTATCTCTCCGCTCTGTATCGTCAGGGGAGAGAGTGTCGACTCTTCTGCAGTCGTCGTCTTCTCCACTGCATCTCTCTCTCTCTCGCTCTCTTTCTCTCTCTCGCTCTCTCTCATGCACACACTCAGTCGCACTAATGAGCAAGCCTTGAGCTACCCAGCAGCGCTGATCTCTCGTCAGCCCGGGCCACAGCGAAGCATCAGAGGCAGCGAGACACGAGGCTGATCTGCAGTCGGCCGGCCACAAAGCAAAAGGGGAGATATTGCGAGATAAATTAGTCCGTCGGGGAGGAAGGGAGTTGATCCGCCCGCAACTGCCGCCCTGCACTTTTCTTTCCTTCTTTCTTCTACCGAGGACCGCTTTTCCTCCCCGCATCCGGCCATGGAGGAGACGCTCACCTGCAGCCGAAGCCCCTTCTCTCAGGTGTTTGGGCGCCAGGGTCAGCTCATGCAAGCCAGTGAGTGTTCACATCCGAAACACATTGCTTGATTGGGAATAACTTTGTTGCATGAACTTTTTGTTTTTGATGTGGAACACGATTGAGTGTCCAATGCCGAGTAAATCAAGTGGTGATACTTTCTGGATACATCTCGTCCGTGCAAGCTGGTTGCGAGACCTTGCGTTTCATGTTAAGCATGCCTAGTGGCAACGCGTCGGCGTGAGCGTACTGCAGCGCGCCGCGAGATGAGTTTGTGTTGATCGACTGAATCCATCCCGTCATTCTCAGGAGAGCGGAAAGAAAATGTGCCGTTGAAATTTGCATCCAAATGGGACGCAAGGGTCCAATCGTGTGATTTCTGGATGGCAAAATGGAAAATAACTCATCAACCCAGCTCCAATTACATTTAATAGTCACGGCTATAAAGAGGGATGCGCCAGTAATAATCCTACATTAAATACTGTTATTGGTGTCATAATGTTTGGATTTTGCTGCAACTTTATTGAACTCAAGGGGCGCATGATTGGAGTTTATCCGATTCATCATTTCCGCCTTCCCCGAGCAACACAACATGGGCAAAAATACAATATTTCAAAAATAAAATGGAAGAGTGTAAATGTGGTCCTGTCCCTTCCACCCCTTCTCTTCACAAATGATTTTCTTTGCATACTTTATATACTTGAAACATACCAAAAATAATCTCCCACACTCACCCTTTCAAAACTAATAAGTGTAAAACTAATCCCAGAATAATAGCATTTAAGAACTGCTGTCATCACTATGAACTCTGATGGCACCGAAGTAAAGAAAGACACAAAAGGGGATTTTTTTTTTCTACACTCCCTATCATGTTTCTTTTGTACTCCTGCAAATGACAAAGCATGATGAAGGTGTCGCATCTTGGGGCGAGGAGGCTTGCTGAAATGTTTTTTTCATATTTAACTGTCATATCGCACCAAAACGATTACCGATTGTTGTGCCCTGCTAAAAAAAAAAAAATCAGCATGAACTTGCATTGTTTTGTGGTATTTTCATGCTGGCCAGCAACAAAAGCAAAACAAACCAGCCAAGATCCAAACAGCCGAACCTTGGGTCACCGGGCAACCCGCTCTATGAACTCCAGTAAGCCGCAGCTACCCGGCAAGACCAACATGCTGTTGTTGCCCTGCTGGTAGCTGGTGACAGCAGACTCCAACTGGTCGTCACCTTCGAAAAAAATAAAATAAAATAATAACGATCCGAGAAACTTTGGAATTAATAACAATACCATCACATAATGTCCCTGGAGGGAACGAGATTATTTTTTGCTGTACTGTATTTTGTGGATTGGATTAATGACATCATTCACCAAATCGGCAAATTATTACATGAAAATTGATCACTGATTTTGCATGAAATGCAAAGTAGCCGCCGATCCGATCAGATCTGTGTGAAGTCAGAATTTTAGTCGCAACACAAGAGTAAATCATCGGGAAAAAAAAAAAAAAGCACCGTACGATGTTCCATCCTGAGTAAAAGCCATCAACCTGCTTGCGCAACAATGCAGTGTATTCAATATTCATGGTTTTGTTTGTGACATTTTCTAATGCCATTGCTTTTTAGCAAGAACAGAAAGTATTACATCGGCCATGAAATGCAATGATTTATTTATTATTTTTTTTACATGCCACAAAATTCCCTGGCTAATAGGAATACAGTCATTGGTGTCAAGGAAGAAATGCTCATTGTATGTCGTGCAGAGCTAAGATTAGCCCGGGTCGTTAGTGGAGATTACAAAATGTCTACGCTGCATACGCACATACTCACACACTTTCGGTGCATTTTTTTTCCCCCTTAATCACTTTCATCTGTAAACTATTTATTTTTCATGATAATATTGTGAGAAGAGTTGGAAAGGATACTCAAATGTTTTGGGGGTCTTAGTTTCTGCGATAGTTACAGTTTAAAATATTCATAGGGTATATACAGTACATATGTAGATGTATATCCCGCTGTACCAAGTGACGTTAACATTTTTGTAGAACAGCTCACAGTACGTAGCTTATGATGAGTTTTCTCCTTGAACGTGCGCCCTCTTTTACACCGCGCTGCGCAACACACAGGCACACCTCCGGTGTTTGTTTATTGCGGAGAGAGCAGGGTATATTCCAGTCAAATGCCACTCTGTATGAATGGGGAAACGATCAATTACCAATGCACGCGTTGTTACGAATTACAGTCGGAACTCGAGTCCTCGCACCCACCAAGTTAACTATGCTCTTTGAAGCTCCTGCTGCAGGCCTGTGATTTGGGAGAAGGGAGGCAAGCGGGAGATGGAATGCGGGAGGAGGTAAAGGGTGGGAATAAGTCTGAGAATAAGAGATGGGGACTATTTTTATAGCCGCAACCTGACATCGTGTTGCGCAGCGAGTGGAAGACTAATCTGCAGTAGTGCTGGCTTGCAACATCTCAGCGGTAATTATGCGGTGGATTTTTGTTATCGTTGGCTGTCACCCATCACTGCATCACAAGTCCCTTCAGCAAAGGCCCGCCTGTGGGGAAAAATCCACCGAGTGTTGCACATATTCAAAGAATAATAACATCCTTCTTCTGTGAAGCAGGCAGAATATATACCTACACGGGACTCATTCCGTATGTGGCACGTGGTACTGCCAGGTGCATAATCCTGTAACGATTCGCTCGCTGTTCCCCACCGGTGCTGTGATCTGTTTTCTTGTGATGTGGCGTCAAAACTCCCCCGGCATCCACTGCTCCCATTTGTCAGCAGAGTGTGACAGCTCGTCTTCCCGGCTTTGAAAGAGTTGAAAGAACTCAGGGAAAGTTCTGTTCTGACATTTGAAGGTTTGTCCATTTCCAGGCCACCCCCTTATTCACGATCGTTATATCGCAAATGGCAAATTCTCTGGTCGGGCACTTTGAATGCTGCGCTACATCCGTTCATTCCTCCATCCATCCATAGTCTATGCCGTGTATCCTCTTCACCGTCAGGGGTGAACCGTAGCCTATCACGACTTCAGGCAAAAAGCGGACGACGCCCTGGACGAGTAGCTCGTCGGTCACATGGTACATAAACTGTAGACAGACAGGCATTCGCATTCACAAATCACACCATCATTAAATGGAGTGTGAACCCGCGCTGCTTTTTGTGCACACCCGTATTCTTCTCATCGACAGTCATCGACAATCGTTGAATCCAGGTAGCAGGATTCTTCTTGGTGATTGAAACCTGAGTACCCGGAGAAAACCCACGCAGGCACGGGGATAACATGCAAACTCCGCACAGGAAGTGCCAGAGCCGGAATCGAACCTCGCACCACTACACTGTGAGGCGGAGGTGCTAACCAGTCGCTCACCGTGCCGCTGGTGCTTTTATAAATATATTGAAAATAATCATTATTATAATATGTTCAATCCATTGAGCTCAGAATCTGTCTGCCTGGATTCAATCAACTCCACCAAAATCACCTCACACCACCTGCGCTACAACTTAGACCTGCTTGTAACGGGTCTAAAAATTCCTCTACTTTTTGTCAGGTGTACCCGGGGCGTGTTATAGAAAATGCCCTTGGTCTGTCCAAATGCCCAGCATGGCGCAGTGCGGTCTCCCAAATTCCCAAACACACTAAAATGAAACTTGCACCTGCTTGAAAATGAGTTTTTACGCCCGAGCGGATGTGCGTTGTCTACAGAGATCGGGCCCGAACAATTACCCGCAAAAGCATCGAGATGGCATAGTTTTACAGCCAGCACTAAAAAGACTATTCTCACTTGGGTAGTGAAGGTCTTTTTCTTCTCTCACTTAATATCATCCTCTTAAGGTCTCCCATTTAGAAATGGGTTCATAAAATTTAGGAGAGGGGGACCTGATATGAATGTTTAAACTGGGTCCACTGCAGGTGTATCTTTGGTCTTTCTTTGAAGAGATGAATTCCTCTTGGTCTTCCTTCCACATGCCCATGCATAGATTTATCTTACCTCTTTGCCCAGCGGGCTCTCCTGCAGTGAGAGATTAACGTCGTGCTCCTGGTGCTGTTAATCATGTGGAAGAGTCACGTTGGAAAAAGTTTGGCCTGTGAGTTTAGCCGTTTATTTATTTATTTTTTTTTTTGGGTTCGGAACCTCTAACAAGGTTCCGAACCCAACCTGTTCATATGCAGATTCAGCGAACCCTTTATTAGTGAAAAACAAAAAATATGACTTTTTACAAATTCAAGACATAAAAAAAACACATTTATTAAAAACAGGAAAAAAGTCAATAAAATTTCAAGACATAAGAATAAATTTAAAAATTTTTTTATGCCATACTATCATGACAGTCACACGTTGACTACTGAGCAAACTAAATTTCCGCAGCACTGATTGGACAAGCAATGTCATGTGATCGTCTGCAGCCAATGATGGCCATGCGGGCGTGTCATAACGATTTGACATGTTGAGTCGGCTGAGACCGATTCACCGAACCCATAGGGTTCGATTGAACCCAGGTTAAGAACCACTGATTTAAATGTTTAACACACGATGGTTGGGTGGGTACTTCGGAATCACAACTATTTTTTTCCAACCAAGTAAAAAGCCAATTCCTCAACATGTGTATGGAAGTGGACAATACCACATAGATTAATCAAGGCACTATGAGCGGATGTCACTATTTTAGGAAAATACAAAGTCACATATTCTTTAAAAAGCCAATTCCTCAACATGTGTATGGAAGTGGTCAATACCACATAGATTAATTAAGGCACTATTTTAGGAAAATACAAAGTCACATATTCTATTGGACCCTCCTGCCTTTTTATGCGGGGGAAGCCACTGGGGGTTGACAAAATCCACTGCATTGGTTTTGTTCGAGCGTATTTTGCTCCAGTCAGATATTCAAGTTTAGGGCGTACTCTGCCAGCATGTAGCTCACCATATTAGCAGTCCCTTGCTTTGTACCTCCTTGGAATATTGCATTCAAACGCATGATCTGACTGTCGATTCCATGTACGGTTTCCTATATTTCATCTTCAAAGGGAATA